TTCCTGCCATTATTTATTACCTTTGATATCTGGAATGAGCCGCATGCGTTTATTGAGCAATAAGAGGATGTATTTAATGTGCCTTGTTTTTAACCGAGTAAGGACTGAAAGCATGAATCAATAAAAGTGGCTGAAAAACCTTCTTTTGCTGGCAGTTTGTTGTGGCAGTGCCAAAGTCCCTCGGAGTCGTCCTGGGGAAGTTTCTGTGGGAAGGAGGAGGTGGGGACGGGTGGGTTTGGGGACAGGACCCGGGTTTCCCGTGCTGTCCCCTCTTATCTCAGCCCTGAGTGCTCTGCAGTGTGGCAGCGAGGAGAGCGTGCAGCCTTGGCCCTGCAGGAGGTGGCAGGTCCAGGTGAGGAGTCCTGCACTCCCTTGGGGCTGCAGTGGCAGCAGCCATTGCCTTTGGCCAGTCCAATATGTGCATTTATCTCCTGGATTTTGCTGCCAGCCAGGAGCGGCCCCCAGGCACGGGTGGGTTTGATCCTGGCCCAGATCAGCTCCAGGGAACAGGGGAGGTCTCCCAGCCCCTGTGGGCCGTGTTCCGTGCCAGGTGAGCCCGGGCTGCCACGTGCCGGGGGGGCTCCAGCAGAGCGGATCCCCTTTCCCAGCCGGGGAATCAGCAGCGCCCTTGGCAGTGGCAGCACAATCCTTATCACCTCCAGGTTATTCCGTGGGTTGATGGACACTTGCAGCAGGGATGTGGCACAGCTGCCACGGAGCTGTGCTGGTGCGCAAGCAGCTCCCTCCCAGCATACCCGGGAATGGGCCAGACCGGACGGGAACCACAGAGATTATGGATTTTCCCCTAATCCACAGCGTGTAAGTCATAAGGCAAAGGATGTTTGCTGTGACCGGCTTTAGCCCAAATATTTTGCAGCACCAGAATTGCCTCCTGTCGAGCTCCTGCCTTTGCTGCTGGGAGGCACGGGAGCTTGGGGCTGGTCCCTTCCTGTGGCGTCTCCCCAGAATGGTCACAAATTCACATTTATGGTCCCTGGTGTGGCGGCTGCAGCCTGGTCAGAAATGTGATGGGGAATACCAAATAACTGGGTGTTCCCATGTCAGCTGGGAGCTGATGGCAGCTGTCGGGGACAAGGCCACCCCTGGGGCTGTGCTGCTGGGACAGCTCCAACGAGCTGTGCTCTGCCTCAGGGCAGGAGTGCCTGTGCCGCTGTCCCTGCATGGCCCAGGTGAGCTGTGAGCAGGGCTGTGTCACACACAGTGCCAGGTGAGCTGTGAGCAGGGCTGTGTCACACACAGTGCCCAGGTGAGCTGTGAGCAGGGCTGTGTCACACACACGGTGCCCAGGTGAGCTGTGTGCAGGGCTGTGTCACACACACACAGTGCCAGGTGAGCTGTGAGCAGGGCTGTGTCACACATGGCCCAGGTGAGCTGTGTGCAGGGCTGTGTCACACACACACAGTGCCCAGGTGAGCTGTGTGCAGGGCTGTGTCACACACACAGTGCCCAGGTGAGCTGTGTGCAGGGCTGTGTCACACACACACATTGCCCAGGTGAGCTGTGTGCAGGGCTGTGTCACACACACAGTGCCAGGTGAGCTGTTTGCAGGGCTGTGTCACACACACACACTGCCCAGGTGAGCTGTGTGCAGGGCTGGATAACACACACCCCACACTGCCCAGGTGAGCTGTGAGCAGGGCTGTGTCACACACAGTGCCCAGGTGAGCTGTGAGCAGGGCTGTGTCACACACACACAGTGCCCAGGTGAGCTGTGAGCAGGGCTGTGTCACACACAGTGCCCAGGTGAGCTGTGTGCAGGGCTGTGTCACACACACACAGTGCCAGGTGAGCTGTGAGCAGGGCTGTGTCACACACACACAGTGCCCAGGTGAGCTGTGTGCAGGGCTGTGTCACACACACACAGTGCCCAGGTGAGCTGTGTGCAGGGCTGTGTCACACACACACAGTGCCAGGTGAGCTGTGTGCAGGGCTGTGTCACACACACACAGTGCCCAGGTGAGCTGTGTGCAGGACTGTGTCACACACACAGTGCCCAGGTGAGCTGTGTGCAGGGCTGTGTCACACATGGCCCAGGTGAGCTGTGAGCAGGGCTGTGTCACACACACAGTGCCCAGGTGAGCTGTGTTCAGGCTGGATAACACACACCCCACACTGCCCAGGTGAGCTGTGTGCAGGGCTGTGTCACACACAGTGCCCAGGTGAGCTGTGAGCAGGGCTGTGTCACACACACAGTGCCCAGGTGAGCTGTGTGCAGGGCTGTGTCACACACACACAGTGCCCAGGTGAGCTGTGTGCAGGGCTGTGTCACACACACAGTGCCCAGGTGAGCTGTGAGCAGGGCTGTGTCACACACACACAGTGCCCAGGTGAGCTGTGAGCAGGGCTGTGTCACACACACAGTGCCAGGTGAGCTGTGAGCAGGGCTGTGTCACACACACAGTGCCCAGGTGAGCTGTGTGCAGGGCTGTGTCACACACACACAGTGCCCAGGTGAGCTGTGAGCAGGGCTGTGTCACA